TGTTTTCCTGGTCTATTAAGACTTCAGCCATCTGAGGCATTTGTTCAGGGAATGCTCTTACTCCAGATGACTTTCCGAGCTACTTCATACTCTAAGTGAGACAGGGAATGTGGATTCCCAAACCACCCCATATATTTTCCTCACAGCCTGCACCTATCAAGATGCCTCTGAGATTATGTTCTTCCATGAATAAGTATAGCTAGTCTTTAATGTAGTTCACTCATAGTTCTTGAGAGGTCCTCTGAAATCTAATTTAGTACCCCCATTCTACAATGCAAAAGGGCAATGACTGTCCAGCACTCGAAACATCCTTTAGAGGCTCACTGAAATCAGGTAGAACAGAACTGTGAAGTAGTAAATAAAATCAGGAAGGGATTGCTGATGTACTGTTTTCCACAGTACCAAGCATAATGAATCAAGGCAACTGCCATCTTAAAAACATTTATCCATTCAAGCAACAAACAGTATGTATTATTTCAGACCTACCTGACATTGAAGCTCACAGAAGTACAGATGTCACAGAATCACAGCCAAACTTCTCAGGTCACTGCATTGCACAAGCAGCATTCTTCCTCCATTGCTGGCTGCTATTTTGGTTTGCACAGAAACTGCTCTGCCTCCATGAAAAGACCCATCAATAAGTGATGTCATACAATAATTCCATGAACTCAGAATTCTGAGTGACCTAGTAAAGCACGGCTCCCCTCAAGTCCAGGTAGAACCTTACCCTTAAAACACTGCATGACAAGGTGCACCTGAGATAAGTTATAAAACTGAAGCCATGATGTCTCTAAAGTTCACACTGATGCAGCTGAGGGCCATCACAAGCCCACTTTCCCCATGGCCTCCAGCCATCCATGCTCACGCTTCTGGGCTTGCACTCACTGACTACATTAAGCAGCTCAGGGATGTAAACTGGCAGAAAACTTACCTTACAAAAAGAAGTGAACTGTCTTCTGTCTGTCTGGGGCTCTGTGGCTGCTGCAGGGCCTCACTGAACACTGGGATCTGCTATGCCACCATGCCCATGACCGGGTAACAGCATCTTCCAGCAAGATCATATAGTCTTTTAGGATGTGGCTAAAATCAAAGCTGCTGCAGTCCTCATTGTCCACTTTCCTGTAACAGCTTCTCATTCCCATCTCCTCTGCTGAGAGAAGCCCACACAGCTACACAGCGATTCAGTAAAAAACTAACCCAGAAACAGAGTGATTATTTCTCAACTGGTGCAACTCCCCAAGTCAAATCCACTGACTGGCCAGTCCCAGGAGTGACCATGGAACAGATGGGACAGCACAGGCAGCATGCTGTGGGGCACACGGCAGGACTGCAACCACTCTGCCTTAAAACAGCTCAAGAAGCTGCAGAACTTCACCTGTAGGTCACAACAAGAAAAAAACTAGCAGAAACCCGTGTTTCAAAAGCTTGACAACCTGGAGTAGGCCATTTGACCTCATACCCCAAATAAGCACATCTGACACTGGACAAAAAAAGGACCTTAGTAAACCAAAACAAAGTAACAGCAAAGCCACCAATGCCTATCTGAAATTACTTAGGTACTCATGCCAATAAAAAACCTAATTTCTGTTTCCTGCTCTTCATTCTATCAACACAGTCCTACGTAAACATGTACAAAATTACTCACTAAAGACAAAATAAAGGATTAGTCTTCACAGACACACACAGCTTACTGCTGACACAAGCTCCTTTACTGCAATTCACAGATATATCATTTGGAAGCTTTTTCCTGTTTAAGTCTGCTCTAGCTTTCTCACAATAGCAGCAAATGCGTATTTTGCTACTACCCCTTAGGTCTCGAGAAATATATTCTGTAGTAGCTGTTCTCCAAACAATTTTGTTCAGGTCTCTCCCCTTTTATTCCTCCACTCTAATAGGTAACAGTTTCTGTTTATTACTTCCTTTCCTTCACAGAGTACCTAACTCCCATGCTTTCTCAAAAGCTTGAGATTTCCTTCTAATTGTGACCCCTACAAAAGTGCTCGGAGCAATATTCTGTGCAACTTTTCATTTGGGCTCTCAGTGACTCCACATGGTCAGAGACCCACAGGTCAAACCCTTCAGATATCAGAGCAGTTAGGAGAAGGAAAGCAAGCATTGTATAGAATCTGACAGGCCATTAGAAGTAGCTAATAAAGCCATATTTTGTTTGCAGCCATTTGTTACCAACCCACATTACAAATTTGTCCACTTTGAACTTTATGGGAACATTCATGCCAGGACTTCTATATACAATGTGTGAAGGAAACGGAACAACTATTGAGCTGTTTAGCTGCACTTACTATGACACAAACCCGCTGAAAAAACTCCCCCAAAGGATGACACAGGCCAGCATTCAGTGCTGCAGAAAGTGGCCAGCTCCTCTTAAAAGTCCATCAAAGGGAAACTCTTCTTTCAAAGCCACATCAGAGAACACCATTCACCATTTAGCATTACATCTCTTTTGTTGTTTTTAGGCACTTGTATAAAGCTTGCTATGTAGCTGCTGTGATTTTACACAATGCCCTTAAGAAATAAAAAGATAACGGGCAAATTGTCTAAATACCAGAATAACATGAAACAAAACATAACCAAATTTTATTAAAAGCATAACACCACTATAATTTCAAGCTTCACTGTACAAAGACGATTTACTGACTACTACCCTGAAGAACTGCATTATCTTCAAAACAAGCTTAAGCAGCCATATTTAGTATTAAAAAATGACACTAACTAGGAATACTAAACAAAGGACAGTGATCTGGGTTTTCATAAGCAGTCCAAACTGAATACAGAACTGTCTTGCTCCAGGATCCAAAACACCATGTTCGTACCATCAAGCCATCCAAACACAAAGTAGAGTTATATTAAAGCATTTATCATATTTACCATTCTTTGAAGGTATGGATTGTTCCTAATTTCTAAAATTTTTGTTGGATTTAAGATGATGGGGAGTTTGCTCACACTACCAAAAAAAAGTCTTGTCTCATATATTAAGGGTAGCAGTTGTTTTTAAATTTGAAAAATAAAACCACAAAAAGACTTCCACCAAAAAGAAACCCAAACCAAAACAAGATACAAAATGCTAATACCTCCTATTGCCCTCCAGATGCAAACTGCAGGGGTTTTGAGTATATGAAGTGTCTCAGTAACAGCATTTAGGACCAACCTGGAGTTTAAGCAACGTGGCCAAAATGGTTAACGTTCACTGTTAATACTACCACCTTACTCATAATAATAATGAGCTACTAAATATACCAAACACTCAGGGACAGGGATAATACCCAATACTCTGCTTAGATACCATGATGATGGAGGTAGGACAGAGCATGGATTAAAAGTAGGACAATTTATTAAGAAAAAACACAGGCAAATTTGTAGAACATCAGCTGATAAATAGCTTTGCTTCTCTCAACTGTTCATGAAACACTGGGACGTAAAAAGTTATTTTTAATTTCACTGCTTTTTGAAGTAGATAGTTGTTGCCAAAACAGTTCAAGGTCCACAACAGCCATTATTTTTAAGATAATTGCCAATATTTATTTTTGAGACCTGTTCAGAGAAAGTCTTTTTAAAACAGGTTTCTGAAAAACTCAGAAATTAATACTAGGTTCAAAGCAAATGAGTATTTCTTCTCACACCTGCTTCCACAGCTTCTCCTGAGACATGCCTGCCTGAAACATCATGTGAAGAATTTGTGGCACATATGCTCTCCTTCGTGCTAAAGATATAACTTTAAAATGCTGTGAAGATGTTTATTGCCCTGTTTTTAGGGATTGACAATAGTGCCATGTGCCAGAGGTAAAATATATAATGTACTACCAGGTTTCAAAAACACACTTTATGTCTGGATAAGGCAAAGTTTTCACAGCAATCCCTCAACTAACTGCAAATTAATTGATACCCAGTGAACTTCAACAAATACCCTATATGTTTATGATACATTATTCCAAGCCAGAAGGTCACACAGTTTATAAAAAGTTTTCGTCATTTAAGCTGAACATCACAGAATCACAGAATATTAGGGGTTAGAAGGGACCTCCAAAGATCATCAAGTCCAATCCCCCTGGCAGAGCAGGACCAAAAAACCACACACAACTAGGGCAGATCACTCAGAAAGACATCCAACCAGTCTTGAAAGTCTCCAGAGAATGAGACTCCACAACCTTTCTGGGGAGCCTGTTCCAGTGCTCTGTAACCCTCACAGTAAAGTTGTTCTTCCTCATGTTAAGGTGGAACTTCTTGAGTCCATTGCCCCATGTCCTATCATACAGCACAAGTGAAAAGAGCTTGTCCATGCTGAAGTTGGTTTAAATTCATGCTGGTTTACTACCAATAAGAAAATTCTCAAACCATGAGGGGCATGCAGAGACAAGGCTAAGGAGTATTTCATCCATGATTGTGAAATAAGACCTTAAAACATGCAAGTAGCTACAGTGTCTTTGTGAGGTATAATAATTTGCGGAGTTTCCCCCACAGCAGAATGCATACAGCTCAGAAAAACTAAAAAATGTTATTCCAAAATAATATCCTAACCAAAAGATCAACCCTGCCCAAGTATCACTATCATTCCCACTTCTACAATTGTAGTAATAAAGCACTAGCAGAATTAACATGTCAAACTCATTACTGATACTCAGGGTCCTGGTGGCAGAATTCTAAACCAGAAACTAGAGAAATCCTTTGAAAAGGGCACAGAAAAAAGCCTCTTCCTCACCAGATTGTTTGGTCCAAGTATGGAAAACATCAATTTTCACTATGCAAAGACATATGTGCGCAAGTACAAAACATGCATGTGCATAAATACTGCTATCTGGAACCAGAACAAGCCTAAGCAAAGTCCATCCATACACTAGGCGATTGTTCTTGTATTTTTAAAAACAGTTGTGATAAACCTTGTTTAGTATTTTGTCTTTCAGTACTTCTCATCGACTCATCCTAGATGCAATTAAATGCCATCTAAAGTGCTTTTGTTTTAAAATAGTGAAACAAACATTTCTTACTGGTAAGCTCGATGGTCTTTCTTGCTGGATTAGATTCAAGTCTTCATGGTTAGGCTTTCCTGGGGCCATAGGGGGTTGAGATCTGGTTCCATAGCCTTCCTGAGACATGTCCTGCAACAACAGTTGTAACAGAATTATTAACCTGACTCAGTAATTACAATTAAATTCACAGAAGGGTGAAAACACAACAGCTGAGTGCTGATAAATTTACTTTTTTATCAGAAGTTTTTACTAGTTAAACCTTCTTGACTGTTGTATGAAGCCCACACAGGTACCACTATGACCTGCACTGTTCATAAAAAAATCCATGGAACAAAGCAACGTGCCAACAAGTGGCAGGAAATCACAGCACTTGAACATGGGGAAACACACAAAAAAACCCCTACTAAATATACTATCACCTTTTACTATAAAAGACTAGCAAGTATGAAGTGGTCAAAGCATTCATCTTACTCTGAGATGTATTCTCAAGCATTTTGATGAAGTACTGAGCCAGGTGGAAGACTAGACTTGGAAAACAAGCTAGTAATCATGCTGTGTAATCAGACTCCTGTAACAACCCTGGATTTACCATCACTACAACTGGCACAACTTTCAAACGCTGGCTATCAAGTCATAGCACACAATGCAGCTGCTGCAGCTGCTGGAGGCATGTTGCCTCTGACAGGTTAGAAGTGTATTTGATCAAGAGTAGCTCCAAAGCCTTCACCAGCAACCTGAGGATTTTCCTCCCTATACAAGCCCAAGCAGTCTTAGGTAAGGGCCAAACACAACACCCAACACACGCAGGGGCGGGGGGAGCAACAAAACAATCTGTGTCCTCCCCACCCCCACAATACAAGCGTCATTCACTCATACAGATACTTGCCCATTCCAAAGCCCTGGATAGAGGCTTAATTTTAGCTATTATAGCAGCTTCTACACTACAGCCTTCAAGAAAAACAACAGAAAGTGCAACCCTGACTTCAGCATGTGTAACTGGCAGGGAAAGTTGAAGAACCAGTTCCCAACTGCTAGAAAAGATATCTCACCTTAAAGGATTTTTTCTTTGTTTTAAAATTGTTTCATTGTCCTCTCCCCCTCCCAAGTTTACTACCACTGCAATTTGCTTCAGCCACCCTCACACCTCCAGCTTTGACACATACCTGAGGCACAGGGGCTCCTGGTGTGAGCAGTCAGGGGAAGCTGTCCTCTGTCCCACCCCACCGCAGCCCAAGCACCACCTCACTGCTGCTAATGAAGGGCTGTTTTCTGACAGCCCCGTGTCCTCATCCAACAGTTACTGCTCATGCAGGAACTCCAGGAAGCAGCTGGCTTGTAGAGCAGGAAAGCTCTCTGTCTCTGTTTCTTAGCTGTGCTCCTGATGGGGAAATCAGTTAACAACCATACCATTTCCATAAAGCTCCTTCCTTCACTTTGGACTCTCCCAAGGCAGAGAAGGAGGAAAAATCAACGGGACTAATCAAGCAAATGCCAGCAAACTTGTTACGATGTAAACCCAGCAATAAATGGTCCTATCCCTAAGCCTGTGCCAAGTAAAATCAAGAAACACTTAAAAGGCCAGCACTTCAATGTGGTTACCAGCAGAGGGTAACAATTAGGCTTAAGGGTGACAAAGGCTGATGGCTGAATGATTATTATCCCCTGTGACCCCCCGTGCTCCCCCCGCCCAGATTTCCACTTGTCACACAGCTCTCCTGCTGCGCACACCAGCAGGTTCCTGTGGATTAACAGTGAGGTTTAAAATCAACAAATGGCACAAGGCCTCCATTCAGCAGCCTTCACCCCAGTACAAAGGAGTAGAAAGGTGCAGGACAGCTTCACAATAGGCAAACAAATGAGCAAACCTCTGCTTTCCTTTTTATTTAAAAACACGCAGGCACACACACAAACACACTCTCACGCACATGCAGGCCTGGGGCTGTCACTGCGTAGGCATCTGTAACAAACCCAGCAACCTCAGATTTCAATTTCCAGTTTAGCGATTGACGACTCTTCCTAATTCTTAAAAAAAATACACCAAATAAGAACCACTTGTTAAAACGTCAACAACAACACCACCACCCAGAAATACCAAGAGTGGTGAAAAAGGGTAAGTGGAATATTCAATTTACGAGACGTCATTTTAGAAACACAATAGTTCCTTTTTCCAAACATACACTACAGGATTTTGCTGGGAACCAAAACATGCTTTATATTTTGAAAAATCAAGAGCCATTAATTCCTTATAAAGTACCAAGCATGGTTTTCCCCACATGTTTGTAAGATTTTAACATTGCCTTCTACTAGAATTTCCCAGGGACCAAAGTGGGAGAGGAAAGAGACAGCACCTTTTCTCATGAGAAATACTGCACGATGGATGAAATTTACTTTTACCTGGGTATTTGAAGGCTATCCATGAAATGCCTTTTCACCCAGAAGAGCACACAGAAAACCACATACATGACACCTTTGTTTTTTTAAATGCACCATTTCCACAGTGCTTTCCTTTCTCACTGTGGACAAATGAAATCCATTTGCTCAGTTTTAGATGAGGTTTCGAAGCAAATAGTGCAGACATCCATGTTTGCTACGATGCAGATACCTGGCATGCTCCAAACAGGACTGAGGTCACACTCT